GCCGAGCCAGCAAATTTATATTTAGTGTGACACAGTCACACTTTATTTTCATGTTAGAAGATATTTTAGTAAGTAGACCTAAAATTCAAATAGCTTCCTTGTTAATACTAAACAGATAGAATGTCAAATGCGCAAATAAAAAAGAATATCTAATGTATGTAATTTTATAAATTCGAGCAGATCATAGAATGTTGGAGTTCATTAAGTACAATCTTTCATTTTTGAGGTTGTCTGATACCCTGCAGGGGTGGGGAAACTGTGCCCTTCGAGGTCCTTAAGTGCTGCCTGTGCTGCCTTTTGACTGAATCTAAATTTTATAGAAAGAATCCTTCTATTAAAATGGGTACAGCAGCTTTTCTTGCCTCATTAGTGCTTAAAAAAAGAGCAATCTTGAAATCAGAAGAGCTCAGGTCTCCCACCGCTCTTGGAATCTGAAAGTCCTGATCCTACTTTGGGGTTCTTTTTCCACTGAATTTTATTTTTGTGTTTCAAGTATATATTCAATTCAGCTTCTTAGCACTGCATTCTTTAATTTTGGTTTCTGTAAAGATCAACAAAAGTAACCTTTTTGCCATTCTTAATCATGTATATGTAATAGGGCTTTTTAGAATTTACTGTTGGGAATACTGGAAAGGGTAAGAGAAACAGAGGCAGCAAAGTTCATACCTGTGTTTTGGAATTTTTTTTCCTGTTTCTGAGTAAATGTTTTAAAAAGATGGAGAGCTTCTACTTTTCCAAGTTAGTTAATTAAAAGAAGAAAATTCTCTTGTTGAAAATACCTAGAAATGCCAGATAAAATTTTTCAAACTTAGTGATCCCTGGATGCCAGGAATAATAAGCTATAAGTCAGCGGTTCTCAACCTGTGGGTCATGACCTATAGGAACTGTAATAAAGGGCCACGGCATTAGGAATGTTGAGAAACACTGCTATAAGTGAAAGAAAAAATACTGTGAAATAATCTGATGGCTACCCTCAGTAGAACACAATTTGTTCCAATAACCTACTGGTTTGGACTTGTTACTCCCATGTGGAGAATGGAATTGAGGTCTTGGGCTCACCTACTGGGGATTTTGAATTGAGATCCTGCTTAAAGTTAAGACCTTCAGACATTTGCATCCTTAGCAAAAGGACCAGAATAAAAACTGTTAATCATCTCTAAGAGAGAGCAGACATCTCTCCTAAATAATCAAACCCTTTGAATTGGATATTCTGCAGGTTTAGAGTTTAAATTTATAATAACCATATTATCCAGGAAGCCACAGGATTAAAGTAAAAAATTCTCAGCAACCCAATTTTGTTTTGGGAGAAGCAATTACTGAACTCCAGTGGAAGAACATCCCATGGGATTCCCGAACAACAGAAAACGGACAATAGTGGAAAACTGGAGAAATCTGAATAAAGTCTGTAGTTTAGTTAGTAGTATCATACCAGTGTTAATATTTTAGTTAATTTCTTGATAATTACACCATGGTTATGTAAGATGATGAACTAAGTGTAAACTGATGAAGAATATATAGGGCTCTGTACTATCTTTGCAGCTCTTCTATAAGTCTAAAAATTATTTTAGTTTCTGTAAGTGTAAAATTATTTTAAAACTTTTTTCTAAGAATTAAATAAAAACCCTAGAAGTTATAGAAAATCTATTCCAGTTTGTAAACTGTAATTGAATTTCATTGAGAACATTTCTAATTTAAAATAAAACAACAAAAACTCTCAATGAACTGGTTAAATGGACCAGCCAAAGAAAATAATTATTTATTGACACATCAAGTACTAAGCATTGTTGTAAAACACTTAAGATATTGCATTAATTTTCATAGTAATCCTATGAGGATAGCACTGTTATTTTCCTGTATTTTACAAAAGAAGAAACTGAATCACAGAGAGGTTAAGTAGCCTTGCCCAAAGTTACACCTGATAAAATGGTAGAGTTAGAATTCTAACACAGGCAATTTGACTAGAGTGTCTGCTGTTTGCACATAATGTTTATACTGAGGAAATTGCTCAGAATATAGCACAGAAAGATAAAAGAAATATGAAAGAAACAATAGGGCACAATGAGAAGATTCAGTGTGTGTATATGTATGCACACCCATACACATATGTATACGTGCATAAATATGCATTTACCAGGGGGAGACTAGAGAGAATATGGGAAAAGGAGTATTTAAAGAAATAACAGCTGAGAATTTTCCAGAATTAATGAAAAACATATATTCTCAGATTAAAGAACCATCTCCCCCAAATTCCTCTACTTATATACATTGTTACAACTACTGGACACAAATCAAAGACAAGGTTTTTACATGTAACCTCAAGATGCAGATGATCAGTTGAAGATTAGCAGGTAGATTAACAGCCACTTCCCTGATAACTGTTGAGGCCAGCATTTCAAGTCATGTGTTGCTCAATGAGGGGGATACATTCTGAGAAATGTATCGTTAGGTTATTATGTCATTGAGTGAACATCATGGAGGGTGCTTACACAAACCTAGATGGTATAGCCTTTTATACACCTTGGCTACATGGTGTAGTTGATTGCTTTGACCATCATTAGATTATATGGTCTGTTGTTGGCCAAAAAGTCATTTGGACACATAACTGTGACTGTTAACTCACAGTGAGCATGAAATTAAGATCTTTTTCACACAAAAACTGAGTTTTTTATTCACACTCTATCCTTTAAAGAATTTAAAGAATTCATTTAAGTTGTACCTTAGAAAGAAGGAAATGTATCCAGAAGAAAGGAATGAATGTGTGGACAAATTGTTGAACATACTGAAGTCTTGACTGAATGAAAAGAATGGTGATGTCTAATTTCATTTTACATAGCACTTTCACATTTATTCACTTCCTTAATCTTTATAATAATCCTCTGAGGCACCAAAACTCAAGCTTGAATGTACATGGGACTTATCTGGGATATTTTAAAAATTACTGATCCTTGGACTTGGTCCTAAAGATTCTGCTTTAATTTATTTGATGTACAATCTGATCATGGGGAATTTTAAATATTCCCCAGATATTCAAGTACACAGCCTTGTTTAAGAATTACTGCTTTTGGGCAGTGTGACCAAGTAATAGTGAACTTCAGATGAATTGTGGTTTGCTCAGGATCACCTGGAAGGCAAAATCAGGTCCATTTTCTTTCTTTATTCTTTATGATACTCTTATGTAAAATTCTTTATTCTGCATGATACTCTTTTAAAACTTTGGATAATTGACAATTGTCAAAACTTTTATTTTTCAACAATTGCCTTTATTCAGAAGGAAATAAGACCAGGTACAATTGAGATGAAAACTGAGTTTTAAATTTGGGGAAAGTGCTTAGAGAGTCTTTACTTTTTAAAAGGAAATTATGAAATCTATTTTTTAAGATTTTGTAGTTACCTAAGTTGAAGGCTAATAGGCAGCCAGGTGGCCACAAGCAGAGGACTTGATTTGGTCCATTTCCTCATTGTGAGTTTAAATATATTTTTCTGCCTTGCTAAAACTTTTAAGATAGATACTGTCTAGCTTACTTCTTGGGAAATAATAATATTAAATAACAAACATATTGGAAGCCACTAAAATCATGCTTTTAAAAAGAAACATTTCTGTAACGAATTTTTCAGTGAATCTAATTATCAGATCACTTCTATTTAATTTTTTTATTCTATTCAATGTCTTATGCCAAGTTTATTTTATTTTTTGCTTGCTTTTTAGCAGGTTAGCAAAAGTGTAGTATACTGTCTTTTTATTTTGCTGCTCAAAAAATAATTTTCTCATGTTTGAAGGTGGAAATATGTGTGAGACTTGAATTAACTGTAAAACTTTGTGGGTTTATTTATTTATTTATTTTTTTCTGATTTTAGACCAACTGCAGCAGAACTGTTAAGGCACAAATTTTTCCAGAAAGCAAAGGTAGGAAGGAAATTCTAGCTTTTGATTATATGTGTTCACTATGATACTTTTACTCAAATTATGTTCACTGTTCGTAAGTTGCCTTTCTTAAGATGATTATATTTGGAGAAATGAAGGTAGGTAAAATAATTGTGGAGGGAACTATGTATATAATTTTTTTTAGAATTTAGTGCATTTTTATAGAAATTACATTTTGAGTTAAACTTCTCACAGGAGCAATGATTATTAAATTTTGCTATCTTAAGTACAACGTGAAAAATCCTCCACTCTCATTTCAAAGATATCAGATAGTAGAATGTTAGTTACTGTAGTTGGAAATTTGAACCATGCTCTCAAAGGATGTAAAATACAGCAAACTTTTCATAGATAATGGTTCATACAGTACACTAAAGCTCAATTTTTGATTACCTTATAAAATCATACTAAAGAAGCTTCAGAATAAAAGAATGGAGGTTTTCTCTTTATTTCTTTATAAAACAGTTACTATTTTGTACTTTTAATTGTGGTGAACATTTTTGTGTTAGTTTTTTTGTTTGATTAAAAACTTCTCATAAGAACAAAATACTTTTCCTCTCCAGAATAAAGAATTTCTCCAAGAAAAAATATTGCAGAGAGCACCAACCATTTCAGAAAGAGCTAAAAAGGTAAACAGGAATTTAACTCAATTTTCCTTAGAGATTGCATAGATTTACTGTATTTTTGTATTTTGAAAGTATTTGTTAAGTAATGCTTTGTCAACGATTTATGAGTATTACTAGCGTTTAGCCCTTTCTAAAACATTTTTGACACAATCATTTAAGAAATATCTTTGATCTGCTGTATGCCTGAACTCTGCTGTTTACTAGGATGAAAAGGTATGTTGGACAGTAATTGGTGAATTAATTGTAAACTTGGTTTAAATACTGTTTCCTACTACCAGAGTGAGGTGTGATTTTACATAGCATTTATAGCTTTGAATGTAAGCATCTTTTACCTTCAAATTTTCTCCTGCTTTTACTGAAAGACCAAAAGAACTTTGTTGTGCATATGTAATTTCTGAGAAGTTCGGTTATAATGTAAGTATAGAGAATACTTTATGATCTCAGGGCAAAACATACACTTTTTCTTTTTTTTTTCTGAGACAGGGTCTTACTTTGTCACCCTTGGTAGAGTGCCATGGCATCATAGCTCACAGCAACCTCAAACTCATAGGCTCAAGCAATTCTCTTGCCTCAGCCTCCCAAGTAGCTGGGATTATAGGTGCCTACTATAAGGCCCGGCTGTTTTTAAAAACAGGGTCTCGCTCTTGCTCAGGCTGGTCTCAAACTCCTGAGCTCAAGCAGTTCACCCTTCTCAGACTCCCAGAGTGCTAGGATTGCAGGCATGAGCCACTGCCCCCTGCCAACATATTCATTTTCCTTTCCATGATACTTTTATGAACCTCTGGAACAGTAGGAAGAAGAAAATTCTCCTTTTTCCCCTCTCCTACTTCTCTGCTCAAAGCAGGCTTATCTACTGTGAAGGAAATAAGGCAGTCTAGGCTTCTGCTGATGATAGACTTGAAGAAGATAAAGGTCCTATACCTTATAAAATGTAGTGGTAGGCCTGTCCAGGAAGTTAGAGTAATTATGTCTTTTATTTTATTTTATTTTATTTTGAGACAGAGTCTCAAGCTGTCCCCTTGGGTAGAGTGCTGTGGTGTCACAGCTCACAGCAACTTCAAACTCTTGGGCTTAAGCAACTCTCTTGCCTCAGCCTCCCAAGTAGCTGGGACTACAGATGCCTGCCAGAACGCCCAGCTATTTTTGTGTTGTAGGTGTCATTGTTTGGCAGGCCCAGGCTGGATTCGAATCTACCAGCTCTGGTGTATGTGGTTGGTGTCCCAGCTGCTTGAGCTATAGGCGCCGAGCCAATAATTATATCTTATAGTGGTGTATTCTCTTTTGTAGATCTCATTGCTTGGGAATTCTGATATTATTCAGAAGGTTTTATGTAATAAGGAACCAGAAAAGTATATTAAATATTTTGAAATGCTATTCTTATACTAAGCGTTGGTAGCACAATTAACTTGTCTCTATTTTAGAGGTATATCTTTCTGCAGACTTGGATATTTAATCCATTAAGGGACTCTCTTTCTAAAGAATTCTTTTTTTTTTTTTGTAGAGACAGAGTTTCTCTTTGTCACCCTCGGTAGAGTGCCGTGGCGTCACAGCAACCTCCAAATCCTGGGCTTAGGCGATTCTCTTGCTTCAGCCTTCCAAGTAGCTGGGACTACAGGCGCTTGCCACAATGCCCAGCTATTTCTTTGTTGCAGTTCAGCTGGGGCCGGGTTTGAACCCGCCACGCTTGGTATATGGGGCCGGTGCTCGACCCACTGAGCCACAGGCACCGCCCTCTTTCTAAAGAATTCTTTTTGAAAAGTATCAAGAAGCTATTGTTTTGGGTTTTTTTCCTAAACTTAAAGTTATTTTTCCCTTGTGGGAAGATTTCCTCTCCTACATCATATCTTTTCACTTGTTATATTTATTTCCTTGGATGTTTGTTCCCTTCATCAATGGTTATAATTCATTATTAAATATCAGAACCACTTGAGGGACTTAAAGAACAACAACAAAATAAAAGAAGCATAAACAGTATCATCTCAAACCAAGTAAAGTTATATTTATGAGGGGTGGGACAAGGAAGATCACTGTCATGGGTAGCTCCTAGGTTAAACAGTTAACTCATTCCTCCACTTCATTTCAAGTCCTTTCTCAGAGTAGTTTTCTCTGCCTTCTAAAATAGTATCCTCTCATGACTTTCTGTTCCTTTATCTTCCTTTTTTTTTTTGATTGAGACAGAGTCTCACCCTATGCCCTGAGCAGAGTGCAGTGGCATCATCTTAGCTCACTGCAACCTCAGACTCATGCTGTGGGTATCCTGCTACCTCAGCCTCCCAAGAGTCACTGGGATTACAGGCGCTCACCATAGTGCCCAGCTGGCTTTTTTACTTTTTTGTTGAGTCGGGATCTTACTCTCGCACTCAGATAAGTCTCAAACTTCCTGAGCTCAAACAATCCTCCCACCTCAGCCTTCCACAGTGCTGCATTTACAGGTGTGAGCAAAAGAACTTACCATCATCTGCCATTTTAGTCTTCCTATACTATTAGAACAAAAGCTTAATGGAAACAAGGACTTTTGTTCATTGCTTTATCTTTAGTATACCTGAACAGTTCCTAATACACAATAGCTATTTGTCAGGGTCCCTTTGTGGACGCCACTTATCAGGGCCCAGGACTGGTTGGTCTCTGGCCCTGGCTTAACTAGGTTCCAGACTCCCATGCTATGCTGTTATCTAGCTCAGGAACAATTACTTTTAGGTGCCTGAGGGCCCTTTAGCTGAGGGTGGTAGTGGTGGTGGTGGGAGTGGTGGGGGTGGAGATAGTCTTTGAGAGAGTAAAGCAGTCTTTGTAAAAAGATAGATCTTAGTCTTTAGCAGAGCTTACTGATTTCAGCAGACAGACACCATGCTGGCGTTTTGTAGGCGGGAGAAGCAACAGAGTCAGAGTAAGGGGGTCCATGATAGAATGCACAGGCTCTTGACTGCCCTCTCCTCCAGCCTAATATAAGGTTGATCTCGTGCCTCTCAATACCACAGGTGTAGAGACTGCCAATTCACTAATGCTCTCATCTCGCGAGTTCTCTCATCCTTGTTAGGAGAGCTAAATTCCTCTCTAAGCCCTTTTCACCAAGGTATTCCATTATTGAGCTATACAGGTATTTCTTATAACTCTGACTCCTCCTAGCCATAGGCTATATGGGCTGCTACAGATATTCTTTAAATAATATAAATAGATATTAAAATTATATGCTAAAATAACAGAATACAAAGAAAAGGTACAAACCTCAAATGCACCCCGCCCCCAAAATGGGAGAAGTGTAAGCTGCAACCAAATTTTCAAAACTATGATACCAGTAAATTAGTGGTAAGTGATTTGGCAAATCAGAGAAATGTAATTAATTACTAAGCCAGTGTTAAAGAAAGCATAGAAGCTACCTTATACAACGAAACTGCAAAAGGTAAGGGAGTTAGTACCAGGTACCTTCAGAAATGAGATTGAAAGTAGAGCTAAAAACAGAAAGACTGGTTGAACATTTTAAGATAGTTGTTAGACTCTGGTTCCCCTCCCTCATCCCATCCTGTAACCCAGGAAGTATCTGTTTATACTACAGAAAGGTAAAAGAAATGGTTTCTGACCTGAGGACATAGTTACCACACTTGAATAGTGGTAACTTAATGAAAAGGTGCATTTTAGTGAATGTTTACACACTGAATGTTAAGAACTCATAGTCATATTACCTCATTTAACTCTTGGAACATGAACATTAAAGTTTATTACCCCTAGACAAGACATTAGAAGATCTTTATTTGATCTATCTAACTAGCCCAAGAGAAATAATTTAACAATACTGACATGTAGGGGGTTCTCTGTGAAATGCCTACCCAGATCACTCTACAGTGAAGCTCACAGTCAGCAAACTCTGACGACTTAAGAAGTCAGTGCTTCTAATTGAGGTTTTAGTTCCTCACTCTTAAATATGAGCAGAAATCTAGGATCACAGGATATCTGAGGAAAACTTGTTTGTGAAAGATAGAGGACAAATAAACACAGGGAAAAAAGAAACAGAAGACGTAAGATTTTATTTGAATTGTCTTCTTGCAATTTAAGTAAAATTGTGGCTCTCTTTGGAGATAAGAGTTTACAATGATAAAATATGAACATAATGCTATTTAAAAAGTAGCATTTGTGCCAGGATATTACAAAGGGTAAAGAATAACCTTCAATAATGGTGCTGGCACAACTGAATGTTCCCATACTAAAGTTGGTCTTTTCCTATCACCTTACAAAAAAATTAACTTAAAATGTATTGTAGGCTTAAATGTAAGCACTAAAGCCCTAAAATGCTTTGACATATGTAGAAGTAAATCATTGGGAACTCGAGCTAGGCAACACTTTCATAGACCAAAATATAAGCATACACCAAAAATATAAGCAATAAAAGGAAAAATAAATTTACTTCATCAAATTTAAAAACTCTGGGGCTTCAATGGAATCAAGAAGGCAAAAAGACAGCTTAGAGAAAGGGACTCATTTATAAATCATGTATCTGACAAGGAATGTGTATTTAGAATATATAATGAACCACTTACAGCTTAATAATAAAGACCGATAACACAGTTTATCAAATGGGCAAATAATATGCATAGACAGTCTCTCCAAAGAGATATACAAATGGCCAATAGGCACATGAAAAGATGCTTAATATTATTAGCCATCAGAGAAACTATAAAATAATAATGGGATACTACTTTATACTCACTAGGATGGCTACAATAAAAAAGATAACAACTGTTGGTAAAGATGTGGAGAAATTGAAACTCTTTTACACTATTAATGGGAGTGTACAATTCAGCTACTTTGGTAAACAGTTTGGCAGTTCCTCGAAAAGCTAAACAGAATTACCATATTGACCCAGCAGTTCTACTCCTAGGCATATTCAAGAGATTGAAAACATACATATAAACAAAAACATGCACTCAACTGTTTATAGCAGTATTATTCCTAATAACCATAAAGTGGAAATAACACAAATGTCCATCACTTAGTAATTGGATATACAAAATGTAGTATATCCATAATATACAGTATACTAAAAGGAGTGAAGTATTGGTACAGGTTATAATGTGGATAATTCTTTTTTTTTTTTTCTTTGAAACAAAGCCTCAAGCTATCCCCCTGGGTAGAGTGCTGTGACATCACAGCTCACAGCAACTTCCAACTCCTGGGCTCAAGCGAGTCTCCTGCCTCAGCCTCCGAAGTGGCTGAGACCACAGGTGCCTGCCACAACGCCTGGCTATTTTTTGGTTGCAGCTATCATTGTTGTTTTGGCGGGCCTGGATGAGATTCGAACCCTCCACCTTAGGTGTATATGGCTGGCACCTTACCCACTTGAGTCACAGGCACTGAGCCTAATGTGGATAATTCTTTAAAACATACTAGTTAAAGAAGCCAGTCACAAAAGACTATACAGTTTATGATTTCATTTATAGAAAATGTCTAGAACTGGCAAATATGTAGACGTTGAAAGTAGATTAGTGGTTGCTTAGGACTGAGGGGTTTGAAGAGAAATGGGTAATGATAGCTAAAGGGTATGACATGTTTGATGGACAGAGGGGTGTTGATGAAAATGTTCTAAATTTGATTGTAGAGATAATATGCTAAAAATAATCGAATTGTTTACTTTCAGTAGGTCAATTTTATGGCATATGAATTATATTGCAATAAAGCTATTATTTTTTAAAAGGATGTATTCAGAGAACAGTACCACTACCAACCAAAAGCTCTTGGCAATTGAAAACAGAAGATACTAAAAATTCAATATAAAGGTGGTGGAGTAAAGTTTAAGAAGTTTCCCAAAAAAGAGAAGCCAAAAGATCCAAATGTAAATAACAGAGAAGATGAGAAAAGAGGATCATTTGAGAAAGTTCAGAATTTGATTTGAAGTAGTTTGATTTGAAAAGCAGATCTCAGAAAAATAGGAGAAAGGAAATCATTAACGAAACAAAGAAAAATTTCCAGAATTTATGATGCTGAATTTCCAGAATGAAGGAGCCTGAGTACTCAACACAGTGATTAAAAATAGACCTAACAGGCTCAGTGCCCCTAGCTTAGTGGTTAGGGCGCCAGCCACATACAGCAGGGCTGGTGGGTTTGAACCTGGCCAGGCCTGCTAAACAACAGTGACAACTACA